AGACTTGTTTGCCCAAAATACAGACTCTTGCTTGCACAGTCTTAAGGGCTTGTGGGTGACTCTAAAGTCTTTGGGGATCCACACCCCTGCATCCCAAAGACAGCCATTTAAGCCTAAGCCCCTGTCCCGCTTCTATTCTGGGCCCCCAAGGCGAGACTCGTGCAAGAGATTGGGCAGGAATAATAGGAGGTTCCCGTCCCAGTCCTCCTCAGGCCAAGGCCAGGGTTCTTCCATCAGCCCCTCTGGCCTGAAGCCAAACTTATGAAGATGTGCCCGAGGACGGAGCACCAACACCAAGCTTGGATCCTTATCCCCTCTTTGTGAATTGACTGTCCCACTTATACCGTGCTTGGTCCCAGGTCACGTCAGATTGCTGGGTCCTGAGCACGGTGGATATGGGATATTCTGTTCCCTACCACCCCCCTTCTCTGTCCCTCTTCAGGGACCCTTCTCATGAACAACTCCTGCAGGAGGTGCAATCACTCCTCGCTCTAGGGGCAATAGAGGCGGTTCCTCAGGAGTTTGGGGCAAGGGGTTCTACTTGCGCTATTTCCTCGTCCCAAAGGCCAAGGGTGGGCTCCAGCCTATCCTGGATCTGCGAGACCTCAACACATTCATAAGGAAAGTGAAGTGTCATATGGTTTCTCTGGCCTCCATCATTCCTTCCCGGGGGACTGGTGTGCCGCCCTCGACTTGAAAGATGCATACTTTCATATCTCCATTATCCCGGCCCACAGACAGTTTCTTCGCTTTGTGGTCAGTGGCCAGCACTATCAGTTCAGGGTGCTCCCATTTGGGCTTTCGGCGGACCCCTGGGTATTCATGAAGTGTATGGCGGTCGTGGCAGCCTTCATCCGCAAATGTCAGGTACAGGAACACCTGCACCTGGACGACTGGCTCATCAAGGCCAAGTCGCAAGCATAGGCTGCGGAGCGTGTGTTTCTGGCTCGGGTCACATTCCGCAGGCTGGGCCTCATACTGAATGTGCTCAAATCCACACTGGCCCTGACGCAGAGAATAGAATTCATAGGAGCTCTCTTGGACTCCATGCAGGCCAGGGTGTTCCTGCCTGAGCTACACTTTCAAGCACTCAGGGACATTATCAAAAACCTTCGCCAATTCCCCACAACGACGGCCAGAAATTGCATGAACTGTTGGGGCATATGGCGGCATGCATGTATGTTGTCCAGCACGCCAGGTTGTGCCTTCGGCCTCTCCAGGTGTGGTTGGCGCAGATGCACAGGCCCAGCAGGGACCCACTGGACAGAATAGTTACCCTCTCCCCTTGCATTCTCAAGTCTCTCTGCTGGTGGCTGCAGCCACAAGTGGTCTGTGCGGGAGTACCCTTTGCCAAACCTCAACGTACGCTATTGCTGGTCACGGACACCTCGACGCTCGGTTGTGGAGCGCACGCAATATCAGAACTCAAGGCCTATGGTCGCATGCAGAACTGTCGCTGCACATCAATGTAAGGGAGCTGAGGGCGGTTCGTCTGGCATGCCAAGCGTTCCAGGCCCTCCTGCAGGGCACATGCAGGGCTGATGGACAACACAGCGATGTTCTATGTAAACAAACAGGATGGTGCTCGCTCCTCTCCCCTGTGCCAGCCCTCGAGCTGTGGGATTTTTGCATCGCCCACTTGATGCACCTAGAGGCGTCGCACCAATGAGCTAGCCAATTGCCTCAGCTGCTCATTTCACAGTCACGTATGGTCCCTCAGGGCAGACATCGCGCTCTTGATTTTCCAGAGATGGGGCTTTCCCCATGTAGACCTGTTTGTGACGTGGAGCAACAGGTAGTGCTAGCGGTTCTGCTCGTTTCTGAACCACAGCCCAGGCTCCATCGCAGACACCTTTCACCTTTTCATGGACGAGTCACCTGTTGTATGCATTCCTGCCCTTCCCGCTTAGACACAAGTCCTCCTCAAGACTCACCAGGACGGGGCTTCCTTGATCCTCATAGCGCCAGCGTGGCCCCGCCAGCATTGATTCACTATGCTGTTGAATCTCTCAGTGGACAGGCCACTTGCCCTTCCCGTGTGCCTGACCCTCATTACACAGGACCATGGCTATCTCCAACACCCCAACCTGGAGTTCCTCTATCTCACAGCGTGGAAACTCCATGGTTGAACCCACTTGAGCTTCAGTGTGCAGACCCAGTGAGGGATGTCCTGCTGGGAAGTAGGAAACCCTCCACTCGTGTCACGTACCTGGCAAAGTGGAAGCGCGTTTCCATCTGGTCTCTGCAGGGGGCAGCCCTCTGCAGCAAGCGCCACTTCCCCTTGTTTTGGACTAGCTACTATGCCAACCCCGGCTGCTTGAGGTAATATAATCTCTCAGGGTTACACCTGACTGCCATTTTGGCCTTCTACCCGGGGGCAGCTGGTAGGTCAGTCTTCGGCAATCCCAGGCGGGCTGGTTTCTCAAGGGCTTGGACAGACTTTATCCCCAGGTGCGATGGCCTGTTCCCCAGTGGGACCTCAACCTGGTCCTGTCCGCGCTCATGAGGCCCCTTTTCGAGCCCATGGTAACCTGCCCTCTGTCCTACCTTTCCTGGAAGGTGGCCTTTCTGGTGGCCATAACCTCGGCCAGAAGGATCTCCGAGCTCAAAGCGCTGACTTCCGAGCCTCCCTATACCATCTTTTATGAAGACAAGGTGCTGTTACGCCCTCATCCCGCATTTCTACCAAAGGTAGTCTCCCAGTTTCATGTGGACCAGGACATTTTTACCTCTGTTTTTCCCTAAGCCACATGCCAGTAACAGAGCGAATGCTCCATTCCCTGGATGTCAGGCGTGCCCTAGCATTCTACATTCAGCGCACAGAGCCATTTCGTAAGTCACTATAGCTCTTTACTGCAATCGCAGAGAGAGAATGAAGGGGCTACCCATCTCGTCCCAGCGCATTTCATTGTGGATCACAACCTGTATCAGGACATGTGACAACCTGGCTAAGATTCTAGCCGCTCCGCTGACAGCCTACTCCACAAGAGCACAGACTTCATCTGCAGCATTCCTTGTGCAGGTCCCTATCCATGACATATGCAAGGCAGCAACGTGGTCTTCCATCCACATCTTCACGTCACCCTATGCCATTACCCAACAGGCAAGGGATGATGCAGCCTTTGGCAGGGCAGTCCTGCATTCAGCATCCAGGTAAACTCTGACCCCTCCCCCAGGGAATCTGCTTGGAAGTCACCTATTGGAATGCACATGAGCATTCACTCGAAGAATAAAAGACGGTTACCTACCTCTTGTAACTGTTCTTCGAGATGTGTTGCTCATGTCCATTCCAAATCCCACCCGCCTCCCCTCTGTCGGAGTATTCCAGCAAGAAGGAACTGAACAGGCGGCGGGTCGGCAGGGATCTATATACACCGCCATGAAGGCGCCACTCCAGGGATCTCCACAGCCGACCCGACGAATATCACTAGGGGAAAAACCTTCTGACAATCGTGCACATGGTGCGCGCGCACCTATTGGAATGGATATGAGCAACACATCTTGAAGAACAATAGTTACGAGAGGTAGGTAACCGTTTTTTCCATTATACTGTAGGTAGGAAAATGTGATACAGTTCTTTCCAGGAAGTAACACCCAGAGGACTGTGGCTGTTTTTTGTACATCAGTGCGAGGCTAACTGATGTATACCCTGTTCATATATGTGGGGTTGTAGATTCCTTCCTGAGAGGGTGTGTGTTTAGAGTGATTCTGACCCTGGTCATGACAGCAGATTTGCAAAAGTAGAAGAAATTGAGACAAGGAGGTGATCTCTAGCTGGCCCAGTGGTATAATGTGCTTCCCATTTCACTTCTCAAGATCTGGATCTGAACATGTTTTAGGGTTGTAAGTGTAATGAGTGAGTTTGTATCAGTCTAGATATCTAGGCATGCAGCCATATGCTGGCACAGAAAACAGCAGCCATCTGCGGTGAACACATCACCCTAGTGCTCTGCCCTTTGCACTGGCTTCCCATGGAATAAACAGCCCATATTCACGTTTCCCCTCCATGGGATTGGTCCTAGTAACCTGAGAGATTGCCTCCCCCTCCCCCGCAACTATGACCTTAACAGCAACATCCTGCTGGAATGGTGAAACAGTACGCCACTGGGGTTACGCTTGTCAATGTGACAAACAGAACTTTCCCAGGAGCAGGAGCTAGCCTACAGACCTTGTTCCCACCAAGAGATAAGGAATCATCACCCCACCCCTTTTAGAACATACTGGAAACTTCATTTCTTCAATGTAGCTTTCCATCGCTAAGCTCTTCACATATACAGACACCTCACCATAGACATGCCTATTTACTTACACACACAAACAGCTCCACAGGCTGGGGAAGAGGAAAGAGAAAGTGGTGGTCCTATTATTTCTATTTTTAAATACTTGGGAGGCCCTGAGGTACTACAGTGTTGAGTGCTATGTAGTATCTAGATAGACAGACTCTGTGGTGCTGTAGAAATAGGTTTATAGATTAGGGATGTAAAATACTAAACGATTAACTGGTAAGCATTAGTCTTACCGGTTAACTGACCCTAACCATTAACCCCCAGCCCCGGGGCCGATTACACGACATAATTTTAATTGTTTAAACGGTTAACTTTTTTAATGGATATTTACATCCCTACTACAGATATGGCGCTTTATAGATAGGTTGAGATCTGCGGGCTGATTTTCAGAGAGTTTAAGTGTTCACAGTTGCTATCAATGAGGGATGTGGGTGTTCAGCCCTTTTGACGGGCTTCTGCTCTGCAGTGGATACTTAGTCACAACCCACTTCTTGCCCCAACGAATAGCTGGGGAAGCAGAAGACCACTAAAGGGATGAGAGAGCTTGTTATAAGTCAGGATTGAAATATGTTAACAGAAGAGTCCAAGAAAGCTTATGTACAGCTCTGCACTAGCCAGTGCTAAAATTACACATAACCCACGTGTCAGCACATCTGCTTTCTCACTGACTGTCCTTTAAAAATTCATGGGTGGTTCATGCACGTCTCTCTCCAGCTGAAGGAGCAGCTGTCTCAGGCTGAACAAACACATAACAGTGAGCTAGAAGGGATGAAAAAGGAGATCTCCCAGCTGACGCAGGCACTCCACCAGCGTGACATTGCTATCGCCTCGGCCAGCGGGTCCACTTCTGACATGGAGCAACGAATGAGAATGGAGATTGAAAGAATAGAGAGGAAAGCTATGGAGCACAGGGTAAAAATGACTGAAGGCTCTTTCTCTGTCTCTACGGCCCTTGGGGCCCTGAGGGTTGCAGCACTGGGTCCTGCATTTCAGCTAAGCTAATGCTTTCCTTCCCTCTTGTGTTTTTAGCCTTGGGATCCAGAGACTGGCATGATCAGAGCAAGGGACTGGAGAGCCTCCCAGGAAAGCTTTCTAACCCTGTTGTGTCCCCCCGCAGCCTCGTGCTTTCCTGACCAAACCTGTTGCCATTACTTGTCTTTCCTGCTGAAAGGGGTGTGGAAAAGAATTTCTGAGCATGGTTTGAGTGAGGAGGATCCTGTTGTAGCTGCCTATGGAGCTCTGGCATTATCTAGGCTGTCAGCTGTGTGGAGGGAAAGAGGTAGAGAAGCTTTCCTTGAGCAAAGAGGAACTTTTGACAATCTTTACTTGATAAAGGTGAATCAACTCATTGTTCCATGCAGTACCAAAGTAGCAGCAGCTTTCAGCTCAGTTTAGAGATGCTTAAAACAAGAGCAGACTGGTGCTGCTGTCTCTGGAAAGTCAGTCTGTTTATTGAGGTAGATCTGACCTGAAAATCAACAGAGAATCCCACAAGAAGTGGAAATGTGGATGAGTTGCTAAGGAGAAGTACAAAAGAATATCACAAGCAAGGAGGGACAAAATCAGGCTAAAGCACAGAATGAGTTACACCTTGTAAGGGACTTAATAGGCAAGAAGAAGAGGTTCTTTAAATACATTAGGAGCAAAACAAAGATGAAGGAAACTAGGTCCTTTACTTAGAGGGGAAGGAGAGCTAAGAAGCAACATTAAGAAAGTTGAGGTGTTTAATGACTGTTTTGCTTCAGATACTCAACACAATTAATGTTAACAATGGGGAAGGAACACAAGCCAAAATAGGGAGAGAACAGGTTAAAGAATATTTAGATAAGGTAGATGTATTCAAGTTGGCAGGGCCTGATTAAATTCATTCTAGGGTACTTAAGGAGCTAGCTGAAGAATCTCAGAACAGTTAGAAATTATCTTTTGAGAACTCCTGAAGGACAGGTGAGGTCCCAGAGGACTGGAGAAGGGCAAACATAGTACCTATCTTTAAAAGGAGGAATAAAGAGGACGCAGGGAACTTTGATACCTTGCAAGATACTGGAACAAATTATTAAACAATCAGTTTGCAAACACCTGGAGGATAACAGGGTTATAAGGAATAGTCAGCATGGATTTGTCAAGAACAAATCATGCCAAACCAACCTAATTTCCTTCTTTGATAGGGTTACTAGCCTGGTGGATAGGGAGGAAGCAGTAGAAGTGATATCTCTTGATTTTCGTAAGGCTTTTGACACAATTCCACATGATATTTTCATAAGCAAACCAGGGAATTGTGGTCCAAATGAAATTACTATAAGGTGGAATAACTGGCTAGATGGTAATACTGCTGAAAAAGATCAGGGGATTATAGGGGAACACACACTGTATGAGTCAACAGTGTGATGCAGTTGCAAAAAAGGATAATGTCATTCTGGGGTGTATTAACAGGAGTGTCATAATGTAAGACATGGCAGGTAATTGTCCAACTCTGCTTGTATTGCTGAGGCCTCAGTTGGAGTAGTGTGTCCAAAACAGGGCACCAACCTTTAGGAAACATGTGGACAAATTGTTGCTCTCCTCTGAACTCTCTCCAAATGTGATAAAAGGTTTAGAAAATCTGGACTATGAGGAAAAGTCAACAAAACTGGGCATGTTTATTCTTGAGAAAAGAAGACTGAGTGGGACCTGATAACAGCCTTAATCTATTAAGGGCTTTTATAAAGAGGATGGTGATTGATTGTTCTCCATGTCCTCTGAAGGTAGGATGAGAAGTAATAGGCTTAATCTGCAGCAAGGGAGATTTAGGTTAGATATTAGGAATAACTTTCTAACTATTAATTAAACTCTGGAATAGGCTTCCAAGGGAAGCTGTAGCATCCTCATTATTGGAAATTTTTAAGAACAGGCTGGACAAACACCTGGTCAAGGTGGTCAAGGTTTAATTGGTCCTGCCTCAGTGCAGGGGGCTGGACGTGATGACTTTTCAAGGTCCCTTCCAGGCCTTCATTTCTATGATTCTGTGAATTCAATTTGAGATGTCTTACATTAATTAGACTTCGGCAATAAAATCCTATAAACCAATGTGAAAATAGGCTGGCTTGGACTGTGTACAACTAAATAAGTTGTACAGGTGCCATTGCAAACTTAGTGGGGACTACAACACAGAACTTGCTTCGTAAGCTACATTAGCATTTGAGCTAAAAGTGGGAAAAGAGAGCATGTAGGTCTTTGATTAGTTATTTGTGTTCATCCTGTCTTCTCAGGTGATTCTGGTTCAGTTGGAAACCCTGAGGCTGGAGAACCGTCACCTCTCTGAGATGTTGCAGAAGGTGGAGTCTAGTGTGTTGGGGGTATGGAATGTGGAATAGCAATTAGAAGACCTAGCAGTGTGGTAGCAATAGTATTAGCGCTTGTATATAATGCCTTTCGCACCTAGGCTGCCAAGTGCTTGATAAAGTTGGATAAGCATCATTCCCTCCTGTTGTACAGTTGAGGAAAGTGAGACCCAGAGATTATGATGATAGCTTGCTTTTATATAGCGCTTTTCATCAGTAGATTTCAAAGGACTTGAGAGAGGAGGTTGATGTCATTATCCCTGTTTCACAGGTGGAGAAACTGAGGCACAGAAAGGGGGAGGTGACTTGCTTAAGGCCACCCACCAGATCAGTGGCAGAGCGGGGATAGAACCCAGGACTCCCAATCCCTGGTTCAGTGCCCTAGCCACTGGCTCCTGCTGCCTCCTCTCATCACATTGTAGTAAATGCCATGTTTTTATCAGCTTGTCTTCTAGCTTTGAGCTGATTCAAGAGTCTGACTATAAATCCCAGATGCCTCCTCCACAAGTTTGAGAGCTATAAGTACTCTGGCTCTTGTAGCTACTGCACTGAAAATACATTTTACTTCCTGGTGAGAGGGAATTTGCTAGACTTTCCCCCCTCTCTTTAGTCAGTAGGCACTGGCAGAGATGTGGTGTTGAAAAACATCATATAAATCTACAGAAAATCCGTTGGACTTGCTGCTACCACTAGATGTTGCTTTGGGCGGTAGTTCTGAATAATAAGGAGGGAGAGAAAGATGGGGCTTAGCATAAAGGCTGGAATATACTGGTCACTATTGCAGAGATTTCTCAGAGCAAAACATCCTTTCAGCCTGGGTTACTCCCCACCTGTGCAATGCACAGGAAATAAAATCAATGACCCTAAAATGAAGTAGCAGCAACATTCCGAGGGAAGATATTTCTGTGGCATTTTATTTTAGTGGGTGTAGGATGGAACTAATGATGTCTGCTTTGTAGGCAGTATTTTACATAACCAAAATCAGCATGTCGTAGGGGGTGAGATGGCTGGATTCAGGCAACAGAAAACCTACTAGAGCTGTTTGGGAATATTTTATCCAAACTTTTTTCAGGGGAAAATATGAGGGGAGACAACAAACGTTCAGTTTTTGATCATGTTTTTCAACCAGCTCTAAAACGTACTAAGCTGTCGGGCGTCTGCAGTTTGTGCAAGAGAAACAGTTTTCTCGGGGGCCGATCTGAGACTCCCAGGAACTAAGGACCATCCCAAACCTCACCATCTTCCCATTGAAGTGCTAGGCACACATGTCCAACCTGCTTTCTTTTTAATGTAAACAGAGAGTCACACAGACCTCTTCAAAAAAAAACAAAACAAACAAACCAACCCTGACAACCCCACCAAAACACAATTGCATGCTGCATGTACAGTTCTCCTCCCTGGGTAGAGGATGAGAAAGAGAACAAGCCACATGTGGCAGATGTTAGTCTTATTGCTTAATGCACAACTAGATAGTGCTGAGATACTGTGGACATAAGGGCATGGTAAGAACCTGAATAGAATGGAATAGACCGTGAGGACTGTGATAGCAGCCAGTTTGAATTGCCAAGCCTATCAGCAAGCTGAAGACTAACTAGTGGTCTCTGAACTTTTTCCAAGGTACAGCTTTGGGATTGTCTGTGAATGGACAAAAAGAAAGAGGGGGAAGTCTATAGAGGAAAAATAGTTGGGAAATAGAAATTTCCTTTCCCCAGTTAGAAAAAGGGGCAGGGAGAGAACTAGATGCCAAAAACTGAATCACTGTAGTTATGTACAAACAACCCATTTCTGCTTTTGAAAGACTTAACAATGTAAAGTATCAGAGGAGTAGCCGTGTTTGTCTGGATCTGTAAAAAGCGACAAAGAGTCTTGTGGCACCTTATAGACTAACAGACATATTGGAGCATAAGCTTTCGTGGGTGAATACCCACTTCGTCAGATGCATGTAGTGGAAGATTTCGTGGGTGAATACCCACTCCGTCAGATGCATGTAGTGGAAATTTCCACTACATGCATCTGACG